ATGCTAGCAGCTATCAGTGAGGACTCAGACCAACAGTCCTGCAAAATAGGCATAGCACAGAGGTTTAAATTCATGTAATGTAACCCATTCCCAGGCACTGTGACTGCAGAAACAAAAGAGGCTCTGCAGCTGTCAGGGAAGTAACCTAGTGAAGTTTGCGGGAATCTCTGTTAGCTTTAAAAGTCCTTTATCTCAGTCCTGTGAGAAGTTCCTCTACCAGAAGTCTCTCTCTGTTCTCCCATTTGCAACATGTTCTAGTCCAAAAGAGTACCAAAGCTGAGATCTTCAAAGGATACAAAGATATTTAGGAACATAATGTCCCTGAAGGTTGATGGCATTTTCTTAATCTTCTCAAGCTACTTCTAAAAAGGCCTGTTCAACTGCTCTGTGAGTTGTTTTTTTTTCTTTTTAATTGCCTTTGCTTTTGGTTCCCTTTTGGATTATAAATCAAAAGGAGCCAATTATCTATTCATATAGCAGTTTGCGGAAAACTTATTCAGCCTAAACTATATGCAAAATTTAGCCACAATTCATCTTAGAATTTAAATACCATTATAAAAATTACAAGGAGCAATAGTCTATCACTAAAATTTAAAAGCATTGGCTTTGAATATAGACAACCTTCCAGGATTAGTTAATACTATTACATTTTTCTTACACTTAGTTTGAAGTACCTGATCTCCTCTCTAGACACTTTTTCTCAGAAAGCAATTGACAATTTGTAATGCTTATTGCATTTAAAAAGTTAATTGCTGTCTAACTGAAGTAGCTTATTATACAAGTACTGGGACTATGTCTGTCTGCCAGTTGAATACACTAAAGTATTCCATTTAAGCAATTTAAATTAAAATATCATTTTATAAAGTTGTTTTGATTTTGATTACATATTGAGATTTTAAATAATTTTGACTTAATTTCAAGGGAGATGGATTCCTTTTGTATAATATCAAATTGTAATAATTTCTATGTGATTAACATTTAATTTATGCCTACATTCTTGGCATATTCTTTCCCTATAGCCACAGTTGTATTATATTGGTTAGAAAAGATGAGTTTTCTGTGCAATGCACTGTGGAGCTGAAGTAGAAAAAAGCATGAAAAAAAAATTCTGTATCTGGAGTTCTACAAGCAATCCCCCAGCAGAATGGCACTATCACATATCATACAGCCCAAGAGACAGCTCCATAAGGAGACTTCATAATAGAGAGAATTAAAACTATCATGGTGGGTTCTATAGTGTGATGTAGTCACTTGCTAACGAAATAAGATGACACAAAGCTCTAAATTAGCCTTTAGCCCAAACTTTTTATGTTTGGGAGACAGTAATACAGTAGCATTGTACTCTCTGCAGCACAGATGGATGCTCTCTGTCCTTCAATGTCTGCTTCAGGACTCACACACCCAGTTTGAGAAATTAGGAGATACTATGCACTCCACTCAAATGTGTTTATTCACAAGTGGAAGTGCTCATTTCTCTTCCATTTTGGTGACTGGTATAATTTTTTTGGAGGAGAGGGTGTTCAAAATAGTTGAATTGCCAGAAAAGTGAATACTCTACACTGAATTTGGTGAATGACTCTAGCCAAATTTGATGAGGTAGAAAAAATAAATGTCAGGAGCAGAAAGACAAAGCAGGACATTTTTTTAAAATAAGCTTTCTAATTTTTCAACTAAGTTCATGGGGGCACAGATTTTCTAGTCCTTAAGAAGCAGATGAATTGCTTGGAATAGTCCAGTTCAAATAACTTGGATTGCCTCAGGAAGGATGTGAGAAAATCTATGTCTCTGAATACATATTTAAAGTTAAATAACTATTCTAATTTCCATGAGTAAACTGATGAAGAACAAGTATGGAACAAGAATTTAGGTTTTAATTTACACTAAATTTCACCCAGACAAATACTTCATAATTTGCACCATAACAGCTTTGGTCACTACCACTTTAAACTGAAGTATCCTAGGTAACTGCACAACTCCCCCATATCTTTTCAGAAGGAAATGCCATCAACAGCAATCTGATAGAGCTCATCGGAAACAAACATCAAGAAGGAATTTACATCCTGTCTTTGTCTCAGGACTTGATCTTGAGTTTAAATATTTGTTTTCCTTGTTAAGGTGTATAAAGGAATTCATGGATGGTTTGTCAATGTGGTTTTTTTCTTGCTATTGTCAGTTCTTTGTTTTGGAAAGCTGATGTGAAGTATTCCTACTACTAGCTTTTTTGAGTGTTCAGTTAATATGCTGTGAACCAAAATACATATACATAATAAAAAAAAAAATCTATAAGGTAACAGCACCAGTACAGCATCTGAAGTCGTTTAGAAAATGACAGTCTTTGTAATGATATGGGAAAAGCAGAACAACACAATTCAAAGGACAACTTTTAAAAGCTCTGCCAGGGGAGGTTAAGGTTGGATATTATGAAGAAATTCTTTACAGAGAGGGTAATCAGGCATTGGAATGGGCTGACCAAGGAAGTGGTGGATTCTCCGTCCCTGGAGGTTTTTAAGATGAGACTGGATGTGGCACTTAGTGCCATGGTCTAGTAACCATAGTGGTAGTGGATCAAGGGTTGAACTTGATGATCTCAGAGGTCCTTTCCAACCCAGCTGATTTTAAACTGAAAATGACTGAAATGGAAAACGCATCTGAAACACTTTGAATTCTTACAGAGAATGAAGTCCTGATTTTGTTCCTTGGATAAATATTTTCTCTGCAAGTTTTTTTGTGGATCTGCCTCTGCTAAATCTCCTAGAACTTCATCAGATCTGCATTTACACCCTACTCCTTTCTATGTTATATGCTCAGCTTCTTCAGATGTTTCTTTTTCAAAATATATGAAAAGAATTTCCTTTAGAAGATTGTGTCGTTTCTGTCAATGAAAAAGGACAGAACAATTGCTTGACTCCATTACAACAACAGGTAGTCTACTTCCCTTAGTCTAGGCTGTAAGATGAGATGAAAAAAGAGCAGGAAAGTAGAGGAAATCTCTTTTAAGGTTAACAGGTGTCTTTAAACACAAATTCTATCTCACCAGCCTCAAACTTTTATTTTTAGCTAAAAAGGAAAATCTAAAGAATTAGATTTTTCAGTCTTCTCTACCCTCAAACAAATTTTACTTTAAATAGCCTGTCTAGTAATCCTAACCACCAATGTTCAGCAAATTTTTTATTGACTTTGCTATTTTATTTCCAATTGCTTAAATGGCTGTGCATTGAAAACAAAAAGTTAGTTGAACTTATTTCAGTGAACAAGACTCACCTGAGATTTTTGAATCTATCCAAATGTAGACACTTAATCAGCATGGGCTGAGAGAAGAAAAATGAAGCTAATGACCTTCACACTGAAAAAAACCAAACCAAACCAACAACAATAACAACTACAAAAAGGCAGAAAAGAATTGATTGCAAAGGGCCAGATCCTGAAGGACTTTAAGCATCCGTAGGGCTGCTAAATTGACTGAAGATGCTGGCACTTGGCGCTCCTGAGAATTTGCATCTAACAGAAAATCTAACTGCATTTAACCACGTGAAATACTGTTATAGTCTACGCTTCTATGCCCCACAGTTTTGCTGTCTCTTTTACAGTGAGGATTTTATTCCAACTCTGGGTCTTCTAGGTGACTCCATATTCAAAATGACAGAAGAACCTACAAGGCATGTGGGTTTTTGTATAGCATCTAGCATTTGTTGTATCTACAGAAATCACATACCTGAAATGTGTTAATCAATAACAAATGGAAAAAATATTTTAACTGAATTAAATATCTTTTTTCCTTCCCTTCTTTTACATTAACAAATTGTTGTAGAGCTCCTTACAATGCTGTGACACTTTAACTTTGCAACTTGCAATGCTATTATGCATAGCGGGGTTTAGTGTTTCATGTGACATGCTTTTGCCTTGATTTCCAAGTCCTTGATAAGGCTGTTTAAATTACTAACAGATAGGACATCGGAAGGAGGTCACTCCAGGGACCACCTAAAGGTTCCTGAGGAACTTGCAGTTAGGTGAATTCTCATAAAAGAGCTGAGAGTCCAGACTGAATCAGAGAATCACAGATATCTGAGTCAGTACAGCAAGAAATTAGGCAGAAAAAGTTCCACATATTCTTCTGTTAAAGAGGCAACAGAAAAATCCTACAGCACCACTCCTTTTTGTATTACATTACCAGTCTCTCTTGAACAATGATGCTCAGATCATAGTTGTGTATTAATCTTATCACTTTCCACTTTCATCTTGGCCATTTATTTTCTTACTTATAAGGGCAGTGGGCTATTCCCTACTTTTGTACAGTCCCAGAGATTAAAGACTTATGTAGAAGATTTGGGTCAACTAATGCTTTCCTTTTTTGCCTTTTCTTGAGGCTATGAGGAAGCTATGCTATGAAGAGAGTTGCCTGAAGAACTTACCCCTCCAAATCAAATACTTTTACAATCCCAACCCCAAAAGCTTTTGAAGCTAATTATACTTTTTCCCTCTAGTTACACATGCTAAGTTTTCCAGAAATCCCTTTAATAGGAATATGTATGTGTGTGTGTATACACACACACGTACACAAACGCACACACACATGTAGAGCATTATCTTGGCAAGGAAGCAAGGACAAAAAGACTTAGCAGCAAATTATTTAGATAAGAGCTAAAAATCCATAAAAGACTAGAAAGTCATCTTGTTCTTGTGTTCTGTTTTCCTCCTTAAAACATTGCTATTCCAGAGCAGTGTGAAAGAGGAGCTTTGGGAAATGAAACCCTTCCTACAACCACAGAAGACGATCAGAATGGGTTACCACTGTCCCTAACATGTACCTTGGTCCTGTCCACTCATCCCTATGTGACAAGTTCAGTCTCCTGTGACTTCCCTAACCCACTGCCAGCTAGGTTAGCCAAAGTAGCAAGAATTAACAGAACACACCCATCTGTCCCTTAGAAATGAGGATGAAATGCAAATATGGCTGTTTCGGGTAAGCCAAAAAGAAGCTATCAAATTATCTTCACCTTCAGCCCCTGCAAACTGGGATCAAGAGTGATGGAAGATCTCCTGTTGACAAGTTCCCTCGCACAACCAGTGCTGCAAAAAGCTGTCAATAAGGTGAGGTCTAGTAAGCAGACTCTAATTAACTTCATTATGTAAAAGGACTGAGGAATGGAGGGTGAGAAGGAGAAGAAATGAAGTAAGAAATGTGTCCCCCAGGTAAAGCTGCCCAATGCCAGCATGCTGGGCTGTACACAACCTCTGGAAGCAGGGGGCTCAGAGAGCCTGCCCTGTGGCTAGCTTACTGCCCAGGCAGCCTGTGAGACACTCTGTCTGACTGTCTCCTTAAGGTAACCTGCAGGATATGCCCCAGATGGTAAACTTGTAATTAGAGTAAGGGCTAATGACTGTGGTGGTGACCCCAAGCTGGCAGACATGTGACCAGGCTGGGCAGAGGGCCTCTTCCTCCAACAGGGATCAAGGTCAACCTCCAAAGCAGTAAGGAAAAACACAGGTGCAAGAAAAAACTTCATGTCCCTAGGTGAGGTGGCCACTCATGCTAGCACTGCCCTCCCCTCCTCCAGCTGTGCCACCTGCACCATCACTGCCCAGCTTTGCCCCTGATTCGCCAAGGCAGGGAGAAAAAAATATATCAAGTTTCCCAATTATCAAAACACTATTGTAACAATGAGCTGTTGCTGCACCTGCTTCCTTAGTGCCGAGTGAACGGCCACAGCTCACCTCCTGCCACAAAGGGGAGCCTGGCCAGTGATGATTAACTCCAGCAGAACACAATAGTCAACATCTGACCTGCCTGTGTGCCAAGGAGCATGTTTTCCTTGTTTATCTTGCACAGCAAGTTTTTAGCATCGCTTTTTTACGAAGGCCATGCCTACTCTAGATTCCCAGACAGTGAGTCAGCCGTGGTCCCGGGTGAACCTGGACCCACGTGGTGGAGAGTGAGGAAACTTCACCCCGTGGAAGGGTCAGGCATGCTTGCCACCAGAGCACGTTCAGATTTTAAAAAACAAACCTGTTTCCTACCACCACACTTTAACCTTGGTCAGCATGTAAACAACTCATGAAGGACTGGATCTCAGCACTAGCTGTGCTTCTCCTGCTCCCTGCCTATCTTTTCAGCCTGAGGGTTGCAGCAAAGTATGTGCTTTTCACCAGTGCTCAGCATTTTATCTTTGTGGTATAGAAGCATTATTACCTTTTTTTTTTTTAATCAAGTTTGAGTAATCTGTGTACATTACAGGTCTGTCATGTTTTAGTTCTCAAGCCAACCAAGCTCTCAGTCTAACATGCAGGGTGTGGATGTGCTGTCTCTAGCAAAACTCAACAAGAAGAACAGGCCTCTGAGGTCATGAGCAGCCAGTTAGAAATTAGAGCAGCCCTGAGGCAAAGGAAATTCAGAGGCAGTCAAAGGTTTCAGTTAAGCAAGAAAAAAGTCCAACATTTAGAGGTTGTACTACAAGGACATTTGCATCCCACAGCATTTGTCATCCTAATAAGTAGCTTGTTAGAAGTCAAAAATATCCAGGTAATGATATTTTGCACCACCTTCCCACTTTTGTAGCATACTGCAATGAAATATGCAATTCCCTTTTGTTAGAACAATACAGATAATATTCTGTAAGTATATCACATTGTACTATGAAATGGGGAAGAGTTGTCATGAAAATGGAACTTATTATCACTGCTAAAATGGCCCCAAAGTGCCTCAAACCTTTGTAAGATGCAAGGTAGATTAGAAAGTGAGAGTGTTTGTTCTTCTGCTTATGCTGCAGTGGGTTTTTGCTCTGTCTTTCATTCTGGGTGTGTGTTATCTTCATAGCACTGCTGTGTTATGAATCTAATGGTATGCAATACCAAGTGAGGCCAACCCCATGTATCAGTGCCATCTCAGTGTCTGTGATGCTGCTGTAGCACCACCCCATGAAGTCCAGCCCAGGTCTGCTCAGGTTACTTGGCCTCAATATCCTTCTACTTTTGTTCTCTGACACTTTGTTTATATTTTCAGAGCTTGCCCTGTGTTATGAGTTGGATTGAGGGAAGTGATGGCATGGTGGGAATACGTCCTATCATGGAGATATGAAGAGTGCTTGGAAGAAGAGTAATGAAAAGGAGTCAACCTCTTCAGGGCATCCATGCACTGCATACTCCCACCATTCACATTGTCTGACCTACCTTCTCTTAACATCTTCTCCCCCCAACCAGGACAATTTGCTTCATGGGTCTGGCCCCAGTTTAAATTTCATGGAAGACAAAGTGGCAGAAGTAGAAATGTTCCTCCCTTATTATGGACCCTGAAGTATGCATGATTTAGTGGAGAGCTGTGGAGACCAAGGTAGTATACCATTTAAAAATTTGTTTGTTGATTTACTCTCCTTGTAATTACACATTGGTTTCATTATTGCTATTTATTAAAGAACTAAATATAATTAAAGTTTTGTCTTTGAGCTGAGTGAGATTTTGTTCGGTTACTTTCCACAATCTCCTCTCACAGGCAGGGTTAGTCTGGACCTTGGTGAAAGCTGTGAGCTGCAGATAGGTATGCCAGAGATTTTCCGCACAATGCCCACAAAGTTTCTGAGACTGATTATGTCGTAGCTTATTTTCAACTAATGTCAAAACAGAAAAAGTCAAGCCATCAGTCCACATACTGAGCCCTTCTTTGCAAAACAGAGGACCTTTATGAAGAAGCCAACATTCGCGGTACACTATCAAAAGTGTCCAGCAACTTGTGTAATGGGTATACAGATCATTCCGAGGTTTCTCCCATAGAAAATCATGCTGGAAATCACGATTTCCATCTCCAAGACTCATTCGTCCCAGAAGTTTTTAATTTTATAAATGAACATATCGTTTAATTTGAAGTCATGGTATGGATCTTAGCTTGCTGAGTGGCTGTTTTTAGAAAGCATTGGTAACATATGTGGGATAGTGGAGTTTTGTTTTGGTTAGAGGTTTTATGGAGGGGTTTTTTTTTTCTTAACAAGTACAGCAACACAGGCTGGATGGATTAGAGTACCTCAGACATGTCATCGTTTATATTGTCATGGACTGTCACAATGATTGGTGTTAAGAAAGGATGCGATGAAATGTTTATGTGGAAAACTAATCGTTGTTTAGTGGTTTTTATTGACACTTTGCCTGGTATGTGCTACAATGTTTTTTGAGGGGGGCAAGAGGGTGGGTTATTTTGCTTTTAACTGTCTAGCTCTTACAATTGGTCTAATTCTGCTCCTGATGAAAACTTTGGGCATTTTACCATGCTGGTGAGCAGGCCTGGAGCCAATATGTCTACAAATGAAATAACATAAGCCCCAAGTCTACAATGAGCTCTGAGCAGAAGGAATTCCATCTCCATATATGAGATCTTGCTCAGCCACAAAACACGTCAGCATTAAGCCAGATTTTGTGCAGAGCAGCTATATAAGAGCAACACTTTAATTTCGAGGTACTGCTTTAATACTAAAATGTCAGCTGCTGTTTTCCAGTCTGGGAAGCACATCTGAATTCTTGGTACTGTTTGCCTTACTAAACAGTGGCATTAAGCTCTAGCTTCACCTCTTTTCCTTAGAGAAAACAAGTTTCTACTTGAAGAAACCTGTTTCTATTCTCCACTGTGGATGCAAGGGTTAAGGGTAAGCAGACTTCTGGGCCTACACTAAACTTGAAGAAAATATAAAGGAGCTATATTTTTATTTATAATAAAAAGTGTGTCTTTTTTTCCCTCATGCCAATCTGATCCAAAATTGGATGCGCTCCACTTTAAAGAAAGGCAAGGGAGTGTTCTAAAAATATCTAGGGTAATGACATTCATCCCAGACAGAGATCTGTCATCCCAGATCTGGTATCGCACAAAAAACCCAAACAGTTTTCCCAGTGTTGGTCCTTCACCCACTTCACCTGGCTAACCATACCAGCAAACCCACTAGTCAGAGGATGTGGGAGCAGCACCTCAGGAGGGTGAATTTCCTTTACAGCATTTGGCTGGAGGGTAGATGCTTGCTCTAAAGACTCTTTTTCACAAAAGGCTGTTAAGGCAATCCCTGGGGTGTGAGAAAACAGGAGGGGAAACTCAGCATAAAGGAACAATAACAACTGCACACAGCTTCTGCCTTCTATAACAGGGAGGAAAAAAAGTTCTTGACTTTCACATAACTTCCACCTCCTGGCTTTCCGTCAGCCATTCCCCAGGCAGTGGAGAAGGCTGAATTTAAAATGGAGGTTAAGATATGCCCTGGAGCATATTTAAGCCTTCTTAATTGTTCTTGTGATGATCTGTACTTTGTAACATGTGAGAGGCAGTGGGCATCCTACTGGCCTCTCTCTTCCCCCATCTCATCCTACGCTTCAGATAGGTACCATTTTATACCTAACAAAGAAATAGAGGTTGAAATTATGCCTTCATCAAGCACAGAAAAGTCAGACAAACTTGGGAGTTAATGTCCAGGATTACTGGAAACATTACCTAAAACAATGGTTTTCTAAAACCCACTTGTCAAAGGATAGATGCCTGCAACTGACATTGTCAAAGATTAGACTCCAACACCGATGCATCCTGCTGTAAGGAAGCAGTGGGACAAAAATCAGGAGAATGAGCTGGCAGTGAGGAGGTGTCATGTCACAGCCATTTTCTTCCAAGTTGGTTTGTCCAGCCAGACTGAAGCCTTAGTCAAAACAGCCTTCTTTGATAAAACAGTAGAAAAGTCAACTTGGTGTACATTTCAAACGATACAGTATTTCTTCATAGTAGGTTCCTAATCTAAATGAAAGTTATCATTTTTTGATAGGCATGCTTTCCCTGTCTTTCTATGTTGTCTTGGCATAGAGTAGTTCTCTAGGTCCACTAAGTTTTGATGTGTGTACATTGGTAAAATTTTTTATTTCTGGGGTTTAGATTTCTGCATGTATGTGTGTAGAAATTAAGTTTAAGAGACTAGACTGAAATTCAGCATTCAACAAACAGGAAAAATATTGTTCCAACTGCAATTTGTCCTCTGCCCCACCTCTTCAATGGCACCATTCAGGCTGAAAAATTTAGCTTGGTGTGAATTATTCACTCCTTGCTGTATCTTTAATTCCAGGGAGATGAAGCTGTTGCAGACCTCAGCTGAATCTATACCCAAAATAAAATTAATTTATTTACAAATACATTTTGCACCTTTTACAATATCTTTTGCATGTTTAGTCTTAGCTTAGCTGATAAAAGGGATTTATAAGGATGGCACATGGAGAAAACAGAGCTGTGCACCCAGATTTTCCTTTATGTACCACTTTGAGGATGTGAGTATCATTTGCAAGCGTAGTGGCAAATATAGATGGCTATCTGAACACTCTCACCGCTGCGGCCCGGGTTTGATTCCCGGTCAGGGAAAAACTCCCCTGGGCAGATGGAGCTCGTCAGCCCTGTGAGGCCATCCATCTAAGAGAAGGTCACTCTAAACAAACCTACGTCCTGAGACCCTCACTGCCACTGTCCAAGCTTGCTTGGCCCCGGCAGATGAACCTAAGGATTAAAGGGTGGGCTCAGTTCAGCGCACACTGGGTCTCACCTAAAAAAATCCATTGCGCAGGCTCGAAGGGTTAATGACCTTTCCCAAATCTTCACTCGCGAAGACTGGCCATACCTGAACAGTGGGCAATTATGTTAGCAACAAGGGACATGCTACAGATAAGGCAGAGTTTTGTAGTTAACTTTTTAAGGCATAATTTGAAAACAATAAAGAATTTTTAGATATGGCATTTTATTTAGTTATCATGTTAATAATTGAATTCTGATTAACGGTTGTAATTAATCATTATCTGTGGATACTTAGGAAATTGTCAATAGCCATAGTGGGTTCAATCAGAGAGTCATGTAGTTCAGTACCCTGTCTCCAACAGTGGGCACAAAGAGGTATGCAGGAAACATAAGAGAGTGAGCACATATGATGCAGTGGCTAAAATCCATCCGCCAGAATTTTCTAATCAAATAGCAGAAGCTCCCAAAGGAGGAGTAATGTTATGTGTCTCCAAGCATAGGTCTCTGTGCTCACTGAATTTACTTTGGAAATTACAAAGGAAAACTTTGGTTTTGGAAATGGCTCTAATACTGGAGAGATTTGCACAATATTTAGGAAAATTGTGAGGATCTGTAAATTATTCTGTAATGTGTTCATGAGTTCATGGATAACAGTGTTCCTTGATTTGACTATCTAAGACTCAAAAACCAGAGGCAATTGTGGTCTTTCTTGATGATGTTGGGGTCACAAAACATAGATTAAATTTCCAGAGTTGTCCTGAACAGAAAGTATTTAGGTGGCCATGGGAACACCTCGTGCTCAGAACCTTTTGTAAGCGGAGTGCATTTATATGGGAGCTCTGTTTCCTTTTCAGCAAGCAAAACAGTCAGCAAAGATGGGAACTGAATATCCAGATCATTCAGAATAACACCTAACTTGCCTATTATGTTACAGATTTCTCCCACATTTATGATTCAATTTAAGAGGTAATTTCAATGACATTGAACATTGTGACTGTACAATAGACAGCTGCTAAAAGATAAACGCTGAAAAGATATATTTTCAGAGGAAAAAAATAGGGTTTTTTAATGATGAAAGTTTAGTTCCCTTACATGTATTATTATTATACCTTCTGATATAATATTATTTGTGCAATGAGATAAATTATTTTCTGCTATCCGTAGGAAGTGAAAAGAACATACTTGCTTTTATAATTCATTGTTTTTGATTAAAAACCTACATTCTCTTAGCCAAAAGATGGAGCAAGCCACTGAAGGCTTAGTCTGCATTTCAGCTCTCCAGAGATTATTAATCAACGTGCTCCTTCTCCTTTTATAATTAATTAAGCAACAGTCATATAGACCAACATCTTGAACTATCTGAACCAGAGGATCAGAAATGTTCAGTTCAGGATTGCGACAAGACTTTTAATGGCTATATGGTACGCTTGCTACAAAGATTGCATTAAAGGAAAAGTAAGGTTAAACACCAAGCACTGGGATTTCAAATTTCCAGTATTTAAAACAATGAAAAATTAAATAGGTCTGGAAAATTTAATTCAGACCCTTTGTTCACAGGCTTTACACCATAAGTCTGTGTTTTGTTTTGTATAACAACTTGACCTCACATTGTCCTTTGCCATCTTTTCTCCTTCCCCTCTCTCCCTCTCTTTTATTTCTCTTTCTTTTTATTTTTTCCCCAGTCTAATTTATTATTCCATCTTTTCTTCCTTTCTTTCTTCCTCATCCTTTAGTGTTTGCTGCAGCAGGCACAAGGAGCCTCCGGGGTCTCAGTTCTCATGTCTAAGCACTATGACAGCCAAACAGTGAAATGGCAGATCCACATTAGCTTCTACTTCCCTCTCTCATATGTACTCAGTCAGTTTGTTGCTATATTAAAAAAGAAAAAAAAAAATCCAGCCATCAGTTAGGGATTTTAAGAGAATGTAAGATGTTTGGTGGTTTATGCAGGTAAATCTGACAGTGAGATTCAATCAAGCCTTGGAGAAACGATGATTTATTATTTTTATCTAAGGCAAGGCAAAGGCAAATGGAATCACAGTCACTTTATATGAATAGAGGAATCTGTATTTACAGATGCATACGTATGTGTAAACATACTAGCTAATAGCACACATTATTTCAGAGGTGATCTGCAGGACAGGCTTACAAAGTAACTGCTTTCTTAGGTGCATTCACAATGGATATTTTGTCATCATCCTCCCAGGCTTGTGGTGTCACAGGTCGTTAGTGGACATTATCTATTGTGAAAGCAATCTTGAAAGCATTGTGAACTTTGAGCTGCCTAAGCTCACCAGGAGCTGATCATACAATTGAAGAACAACTTGAATTAATACTTAGCAGGCCACATGCAAATGGGACAGGATGATGGCAGGGGAGATGGCTATTCTCATGCTGCTGAAGTTTACTTTGAGGGACTGGTAGACAGTATGTATCAGAGAATCACATGATCACTGAATGATTGGACCTCTGGAGATCATCTAGTTTAAACCACTGCTAAAGCAGCTTCACCTAGAGCGAATTGCACAGGTCGTGTACCAGGACCCCACAACGAAAGGCAAAGATGAAATTATATCCTCCATGACTGCAGTAAAGGAAGAGTTCCCTTCAGGAATACTTGTCTCAAGAACAGATCCAATGCAGTTCGGCATTCTTACAGCTGCAATGGGTACAGGGCCATCACAAACAGTACACAGCCATGATAAAGCAGCTGTGTCCCACTACTCATAGAAATTAACTTTCCAGTGCAGAAATTACTATGTCCATTAGCTGTACAATGCAACAAAGGTGGTGTGCCTCTTTGAGGTAGTACTTGCTTCTTAAGAAATAGCATAAAACTACATCTGTAAATCAGCAGTTCTCTAGTAGCCATCCTTCAGCTGCTTTACCATTAGGCAAAGTCAAGACTATCATGAACTAGCAAAAATGGGCTTTGCAGCCTCATCAGAAGATTTCTGTCAAGTGGCACTCAAGGTGGCATGGTCTGGAAGATGATATGGTCCTCCAAAGTCAGACAGGAAAGAAGGTATTTTTTATGACACGTTATCAGCCTGACATTTCTGTGAAGACACTGGCAAAGATTCACACTGGTGTCAATTACAGATTGACCTGTGCTTTGCCTTCCACAAAAGGAATATGAGCACAATTTCACTACCTAAGCCAGTAGTGGTAACTAAAAAAGGATATGTATGTTCCTTCCAATGTGATAATGTCAATATCCAATATCCATATGTAAATACTCCTGTCTGGGTCACTCTTGTTAGCAAAAGCTTTTTATTCTTTTGGTTGTTGGTTGGGTTTTCTTCCCTGAGAAATATATTCAATTTTCAACAAAAAAAACCCTATAGAGAGTAATGTTTCCTACAATCCTCCTGAAGAATTTCCATAAGGACCCCAAAAGTTTAGAAGAAAATTACCTGAGTAATTTTATTTTGCCAAATGTCTTTACTAGTTAGTACTAGGCACTCCAGCAAGAGCATAATACAGTATTGATTGTTAGAATTCCATAAGCAGGGAAAATCTTACTGCATTATACTCTTCACTGTAAATTTCAGGAAGATTTATACTTCTTTTCCTATACTCTATCCAAAAGAGTTGATTATGAATATACAACAGTAAAGACTCAGGAATAAAAATGTTTTAACAGCAGTTTATACTCCAATTTAACAAATAAATAATATCTTCAACTACATCATGTATTAATTATGACACAGCTGCTTCTTTTTATAAGGGTTTGAGAGATAATACAGTAAGAATGCATCCTGTCAGGCTGCTTTATCCTCACTTCTTGGGTTTGGAGGAGGATGGAAGCAGGGGGTTGCTTTGTGATACATGCCATCTCCCTGAATTTAAGAAGAGTTTTACATCTCTTCCACACATATAATCCTTTTGATGAACCCTTTAGAAATAAGACCCCAAAAGAAGGAAGGGGAGGAAGTGAGTACCTTTTTTGCACAGTGCAGACATTTTTGGTAGGGAACAGCCTCTGTCACTCACTCATCCTCTGTGTTGTGTGATCTGCAGGCAGAGATTCATGTGTGAAATAAGGTAAAGTGCAGAGAAAACCAGTATCTCTCAACTGTGTCATAACTAAGATGACTTATTTCTCTGGAGTAAAAAATGCATACATATATATATGTATATACACACATAAATTTAGCTGGAGCTGGAATAAAAGTGCATAGGAAGGCATAAGAATATTTTATTATCTTCTTCTACTAGAAAGCCATTCCTTTCATTCTTTAGCACTTACGTACAATTGGACATGACCTTTATCTCCTGAAGCATATTTTGCTACAGAGAGATTTCTTGAATTTGTTCTGGTGTTCAAATTCACTTGACTATTTGATTATTCATTGGTTTAGATCATATATATCCTTGATTTTCAGGTAAATTATGATCAAGTGCAGGACCTCTGTCTATTCACCAGCTTACTTGTTTCTGTTGTGATGGCTTGTAGCTGCATACCCACAAAGCTATGGCATGTCATTTTACTTCTGTGTTTTCACTTGCTCAGCATATCCTCTCCTGATACCTAAATTTAGATTCAGCAACAATTAATTGCACAAGTTGTAATGCTGACAGGGTAGATGGTTCTGTGGTGATATTGTCTCTGATGTGCTGAACACTGCACAAGACAGAGAAGAAGCCTTTAATGTATTAAACTTAACAAGATGACAATTAATGGAGAACATGGCTTTCTGGATGTGTTTCAAGCTTACATTTAAAACATGAGCATAAACTCTTTTGCAATCTGAACTGTTTTCTATATAAGTTTCCTAATTGGGATTGAGAGCTTCTAATGATACTGACCTGATATCAAGCCACTCACTAGGTTTGATTTAGTAAAGGGATGAGCACTCTGGACCAAATTCTGCAAGCACTTCTTACGCACATACCTTACTTTGAGCCACATGAATAGTTCCTTTTAAGACAAAAATCTTTCTTGTGCTCTCAGGTTGAACATGTACTCTGCTGCTTTGCAGGAGAGTGCATTGCTCTCAGTAGCTTTTCACCCGCAACAATTTAATTATCTTATCCAATATCTTGTTGTTTGGCCTCTAGGTAAGTTATTTAGACCAAAGACCTCCCTAAACCTTCTTTCTCTTTCTGTCTGTTTAATTAATGCTCCATTTTTTTAAGCTGCTGCAAGTGCTGCTATGCCAGATAATGTGGTTTGGATTAACTTGATGTTATTTAAAATTTACTTCCTTTCATCAAGTTAGGAGACACCCAAAGAAGACATGCTGAAAACTAAGTAGAGATTTTGCATTAAGTTTAAGTTAAACACATATGCCTAAACAATCTTCTTGAGTTTCCCTGTTATCACACATCACCTGAACTGTGTCTGTCCTGATGTGGGAAAACACAAGGAGAAAGGAATCACAGGCCCACTGTGTCTGTGTATTTTCTCTTAAGTCTGGGGCATATGTTACATAATAAATTTCATTGCAATTTAAGTGTAGTCAGATTATTTTGAGTTTGCCATGAATATGAACGCGTATCTGCCCATTACGATGATCAAACTGAAAAAGCTTAAACGTTATCAAACTGTGGCAGCTAGTTCACATGTCTCGTAAAATACTTCTAGGACCCATTTATGCCAAGTTCGTGCAAGTTTCTCATGTATACAAGTCTCATCTTAGATCAAGGCATCCTGTGATCATGTGTCATGCATCCGTAATAGCATTACAAACAGGGTAACAAGTGGCCAGACTTAGCACAAACGCAGCTGTGGGGAGTCCGACCTAGTGAAATCTAGTTTATCTGAAGTCTAGTTTATGAATGTTCTTGCAAGACAGCTAACACAGTACTGCACCTTCAAATGATACATCAGTGGCCTTTTGCTTCCTACAGTGAAAAGAAACATAGACCACAGCACAGAAAATCAGTTCGGGAAAGTTCCTTGTGACAAAAATGCATTCTTGCTTAAGAGCATCTAGCATCCTCTGCCCAACCCAAAACCACAGAGGCTAAGTGACAAGTAAGTCTCCTTCTCTAAAGCCATAATGAAGAGCTATATTAACAAGGCAATAAAAAAAGCTTGTAATAAATTAACTGCTTAGTTTTTTCAGGGAACATAAAATTTTTTCCTCAGTTTCAGTCCATTCAATCCTCTGCGCTAAAATGCTCCCAATGGCTGGCAGTTGCTTGGTCCCATGGGCAAGCCATGCTCTCCCTGTGGGAGGTCTGCTGAGGATGCTGCCCACCCATGGCATGGAGTATGCAATGTCTGTCTTCTCTACTCACCCACAGTGCAGCAACAAGGAGCCCAGAAAGCTTACTTAATACCTCCCCGTTTGTGTGCAATTTCTTTCTGTTCCTGCAGAAACAGAATATCAACGTCATCCTTGCAAAGATAAGAAAGAACCAGGCTAAAGTATGACCTTCACTTCCATACAGTCGTTTTATCGTGGCTATATATTATGAGTCGCAGGATCCTAAAGAGCAGCAGATATGACATTCATATGCTCATGTTATTGGTTAATTGTTTGCTATATATCAAATTCAGTAGGCTGAACCCCTTGATAGGAAATTTTTTGGTACAAAAGTGTATGTGCATGCACACTCACGAATGTGTGTGCACAGACATGAGGTGTCCACATGTGTGTTGAACAGCTCCCCGTGAGAAGTGATGTTTTAACAGTGTGTTTGCTGGAGTAAATGGTGCTCACACAGTTCCCAAGCAGATGTAAGTTACCCATATGCTGTGCATTTTTATCTCTTAAACCAGATTTACTGTGAAATTATGTGCAGTATGAGATGGTGATTTTTAGCTTATCTATTTATCTCTACTGGGACTTGGATTTTTGTCTTGCTTTACTTGTCTGTGAGCCTCCCAGTAGAAGATTCATTTGCATTCACTGAGATGATAAACAGTTTTTATTCTCCAGTCCTGTTATCATTTTCTATTACTTTTTCTTTAATCAATTATTTTTATTCATTGATAACCAGGCTTGTAAAAACAACTTTGAATAACCAGCACACTAAAACACCCACTAGAAAACAGTTTACAAGAAATATCTGTCCCCTGCCCTTTGATGAGTTTTCATCCTATTCTAAGCAAACATTTTGGAACCAAGTCCTTTATCGTAGGCTGTCCAACAGCTAGATACAGATGCACCCATCTATCTATCTGTCTGTCTATCTATCTACCTAGCTATTTACCTTTGGTTTGCTAATTGAAACATTTTTCCTGGATAGTTTGCTTTCTCAGCAGTTATTTGCAACATCTGAAACAAAGTGAATATAAAAAGGACCGACTTTGGGAAGTTTTCTTTAAATGCTCAGATCCTCAGTGCTTCATATTCTCAGGAAAAAAAAAGTAAGTGAAAAATGAACAAGTCATGGATTTTCAATGCTCTAATGACTTATACTAATGTATTCCTTCCTCTAAATACAGATTTCTATTTAAAATTCAGTATGCAGGGGTATTATGAATTCTAGTTTAATAGATTCCAAATAATTGCCCTTTAGAAATGATGAATAGCTGTTTAAAGCCACTGATAAGAATATACTATTTCTCCCCTAACAATGGACCTTCTACATTAACTGTATCATATATGCTGGAAATTAGTTTATTAATTTTTTTTATTGATATGCAAACTACAAGCTGATGGCAGATGGCAAATAACCCCTTTACTCTAACACCAAACCCTCCAAAAAAAAGCCTTGTCTCTGCTACAGTTCTTGTAGGGGGACAAAAAAGAGAGATAAGAAGATAGCTTTTATATTGAAGGCAGGCCACTGAAATGCAGATGATGCCATTCTCTCTTGCACTCAGTTTTCAGATTTTCTGGCATAAAAAGAATAAGATATAAGATGGAATTAATGACCAGATTTTGCAGAACTGCAATTCAAGATGCTTTCTCTCTGCTGTTCATGCTATCTCTGAGTGGCCTTTAAAACAACTATTCTAGACTTGTTCTTTCATTTAAAAGACAAGCATCCAGAAATACTGAAATTAAAAATACATTATTCATATATTCAACATAGGAATGACCTGACAAAAAATTTCACTTAACAGAGCTGATGGTTTCTTCATAACATATGAAACGCTTTGAAAATACCAAACAAAATAGATTAAATGCATCTGCAGTTGAATTTGCAGTTATCATAAAACGTGACACTGGAAGTTTCTGAGGTTGTATGTGTTTTGTGTACTAAACACACCTGCTGTACTTAAATGCAGCACTTGAAAAAATATATGCAAAATGTGAATATATTAGAAAGCTAACACCTTTTTACTTAAAAACTTGGGGGAGGATGTGTATTTTGAAGTGTTATTTCAAATATTTAGGGAGATATACAAAGATATTGTACACCAACAATAGTGCTTTTAACAAATAATGAGGTAATGCAAAGCTATAATATAGTGCTATACGTAAATAAATGGTTTTTCATTGCATAATTGTTGGATTATACCAAGCTTTTAGATTACTGGCATAAATAAAACACTTAGTGGATGAAAAGTGAATGTGTATATATATATATATTGGATTAAGAAACTGGTATTTCCTATCATGTGCATATTATGCAATGGAACATCCTAGTACTAGTGCTCACTTGCTCTCTCTGTTCATATGTGACTGCATGTAACTGCATTTCTGTACAGGGAATTCATCTCAGCTAAATTTTGTCTGTTGAAAAAATATTTTCCAGTGTCCGTACTTGCTAAAGCTAACAGCAAAAAGAAAACCTCTTTATTAGAGGTTAGAAAGTTACTGTAAGAACTGTTCTACTTTTCTTGTTGCCATCAATCCTACATACAAGGAACTTAAATTTCCAATTAATTTCTCTTGGCAAAGTTACCAGCAGCACAAAAGGTCCTAAAAGTGCGTTAAAGCAGTTTTAAGTCTTAACCGTAGTTGCGTCTATAATGCTTGGCTCTGGTCCCTTTAGCCTTTTATTTTTTTTCTATAGGATCAGGGCAGTTACCCCCATCTCAGGGCCTTTTCTTCCTCCCTCTGGGGTAGGCTGCCTTCTCCACACACCACTGGTACCCAGAAAAGAATGGTTCTTCTGTTTGTCTGGCCGACTGCATATTGCATCCATTGCTCCATTCAGCCTGTCTTTTCAGGTCTGGTAGCTTCTGTACAACTTAGCTTTTGTGCTCTACTGCCAGGGCTTTTCTGAAGCCAGACGCTTTTTGAAAAGAGGGTATATTTGCATAAACAATACCATGTGAGGAGGTCTGCTGGAAAGAAAATCAAAATTCAGCTGAGCGAATCTTCCTGAACAACTCATTTCTTGCAACCAACACCTCCTATCGTTACCATCTGTGTACTAAATTATGGCTGAAAACGTGTGCTGCTCTTTCTTTTCGCCTGCTCTTGTGTACAGATTCCTCATATCAGCTGAAGTATATTTTGTTTTCAAATTTAGGCTGAACAGAGACCCTTAAACAGAATTCAGTATATGGAAGGAGGAAAATATAGTTGTATTAAATAAGGAACAGAGGGCCCGCCATGCATTAGATGGCTTGCAACCCAGATTGGATTTGCACTGAAGGCTCATCAAAATGCATATCAGAAAGAAGATCTACCCATCAGCTTGCTGAGATTTCAGGTCAGTGATGGCAGGGCAGCTTTATCAGGAGAGAGCAGGGAGAAGAAGGCTTACTGCTGCGAATTATAGCAGAAGGAATCATTCTGGAAAATATGTGGTCTTAAATCTTGAGTGGCTTAAAATATTGGATATACTGAGCGCATGTGTATATGTATCCACATAAACACAAAAATAAAGAGTTCATACATATGTATACATGAGTGAATTCATGTATATTTCTATGCACAAGCAAACATGCACACGTGGTCTGTGCTACAGCCTCTGTGTGCATTTACAATATCCTACACATGGGAATAAAAATAATTAGGCTAACCCTGAAAAAAAGCAGGCAGGCAAATCAAAAGTAGCCACATGGAAAAAAGGAAGAATAGATTTTCATAAGCCACTGCTCAAATCTCCCGCTTATTTGCATTTTTTATTCAAATATCTAGCTAGGTAATGCATCTCTCACTATTTCATTAAATCTCAATCTTAATTTTATTTTCTTACTCAGATGCTTTGGATATAATTAATAACAATATTTAAAATGTGTCTCCCCTACTGTATTAGGTCTGCACATACAGCATCTAGTGTTTTGCACTGCCTATTAAATCACACTCATATGTCAGAAAAATGGTGCTTATGGATGTGTTCAGCATACAAAACTATCACAGATGAGGGGCTTTTCTTCTACCCTGCTGCCTTGATCACTGCCCACTTTCCAAGCCCTAGTGTCAAATGGATTGGGAGAAGACAGATTGCCTCCGACTGTTGGCTCTATCCATGTGTTGGAACAGTGTGCACATGGGATTTTTGTGGGCATTTTATATTGTTCTGGTTTCTTCCTGCACAAAATCCAGTGCAAGGGGCAAGTTTGAACGGAATATCTCATATCATGTCTTTTCACTTACAGACAGGCATCCTATCAAACTGGTTCCCAAATGTCTGAAGTAGCCCCTTACCATGAATCAAACTACACTTCTGTCACAGGGCTCCAGTTATGCTTGTGTCTTACCCTGAGGAGGTATCCAAGCAGACAGCTAGCAGAAATCTGGAAGACCATACATTCACCCCTTCATTTCCAAGTCCCCTGTAAGATGTGGAGCTTTATTATGTTTACCTGGAATGTGAAGTGGTCCATTTCATACAACACTGGAAAACGAAGGTCAATGAAGATCCTTAAAGAAATTGGGCTTAGTAATAGTGACTCTTTTCGTCAGATTTCATTTTGTGGGAATCATTCCTATAATTCTCTGCTTTTCTGAGGATTTTCTCTATATTACCTTCACAACCCTGACCAAGAAAAAGAAAAAAAAAGGAAAATAAAGTCACAGAAGAAATAAAAATGTTTATGTAAGAGGGACATTGCCTGATTAATATTAGCTGTTTGCTCATTATAGTGCAAGAAAAATTAGAGAGGAGGGGATGGTTGGAAGTAGAAGAGAAGGAAGAGTGAACTCCATATTTTTTGCAGGATGTATTTTTCACGGAGTCTGCAAAACGCTTTGGAGGGGGGTTTGCATGACTGGATTTTGTAATCCCCATAACTTGGAAATCAATAAGATAAATGGAGGAGAAATGAACAGCTAGTGGCCTCAGTCTTGATGATTCGAGGATAAATCCTTTTAATAAACATGAAACTGCAGCAGAGCAGAAACTCTAAGTCCTACTTTTGATTTAAAGATGTTTATCTCTCTATCTGCTACATTTCTCAGATTTTATTCTCCTCGTATCTTTTCAATTTTATCTCTCTGGTTACCCATATGGTTAATTGTTTTTTGCATTTATTCTTCAAAGATGAAGCATGTGCTTACGTACATAACACATTAATATATGCAAGCAGTGGGGACATATAGTTTGGCTTTGTAGTACCTCCCAAGAAGACTTAATGGAAAATCACTGTCATCCTATAGTCATTTTGTTTATGCTTGAAACATGCTGTTGTCTGTATAGCAGAATCACATAGGTGAAAGGTAGAAGAAAATAAGGGCAATTTCACTTAAGGAAAACTTACGTATAGAGAGATTTTGCTGGTGATGGTGATCACAAAGAAACTATTATAAAAAATGAAGCAAACTGCACCAGTTTCTCAGCATTAGAACTCCTTCACTAGTTAATCCATCAGAATTGAGATTTGTCAAGGCTTGTTTTATGTAATAAATGTTTGATTAATTTGTACATTTCTACAATATAACAGAAATAATTTGGAAGTTCAAGATTTAATATCCAGGCTTCCTTTATATACACAAGGGGGGGAAAATACATTTAGATCTCTCATTTATTTTCCAATTAACTGTTCTTTATCCGTGCATTAATATTACAGATGTCTCAAGAATAATTAAAACAGATAAGCAATTTATAAAATCTTCACATTTCATGCTAATTATCATAATGCAATGTTACGTTTTTATTAGCAGCTTTTGTTCCCTCCCCCCACTGTTAACTTCTAGGAACCCTGGGGCCTGAGCCAGTCAGCATGTTATAAATCTTTGTTAAAATACGACACGAAGCTAAGAAGCTTGCAACAAAGCAAATTGGACAGTGATGGAGCTCTCCTTTCTTTACCTTCACTTCCCAACAGCCAGCCTGTCATCAAATATGAAAACAATGATGGCTTTCCACAGTTTCTCACTGTGAAGGCTAAGGGGCTCCCAGGACAGAGGGTTGTGAGGATGGGCTTTGAAGTTGTCAGTCCATGAGAAAGACAGAGGAGAGCAAATTGATCCGAAGATCCTGATACAGGCCTAAGTCACAGGCCCAGGAAGTGACTGTAGAGTCAACATACACAGTACCACTATATCACACGATTATAATCACAAGAAATTAAGTCCCATCTCAAAATGAGCTGACTTGTTTGTTCTCATCATTTCTATGCAGGATTACTATCAGAATTCAAAAATAAGCATTCAAAGGGGAATTCCTAGAGTTGCTTAATGTTCAAGCCATCAAGTGAGAGAATAGAAGTGCCACACTGTATTACATGAGCTCTTCCACACCTCTGTTCCAGACTTCAGTGGAACCATACTCACAGTCAAGCTAAACACCACAGTTATCGTGAGCAGTTTGGAATAAGAAGTAAAAATAGTTTGCATTGATAAAGAGGTTAACTTTGCTGAAATATGCGACTTCATATCATTAAAATTAAGTACCTCCTCAAGTGTTTAAAAGGATAGAATAAACTTGTCCAGTGAATGAGCAACAATATCAGCTTCTCTGGTAGCAATACCAGTGGCCAGCACATTAGCATGTGCACATGCAGAGGCGCACACATGTATGCACACCATTCTACTCTGGTGCTGCACAGCAGAGCCAAACACTCAAGTGTGCTACTAGTTGCATGTCTTAGTAACCTCTTTCAGATCAACCTTTAAGCAGTAATTTGTGTCATAATGAAGATAATGTACCTCCATATGTTTCAAAAATACACTCATCTAAGCTTTCAGGAATAATAATGTAGTTTATGTTTCATTTTGTTTTTATTCCCGAAACAGACTTTGATATAAGGTGGTGGAAATGAGATAAAATGAGATAAAACAGCTTGCTCCAGTACCAAGTCCTGAAACCTTAATTTAAGGAGAAGAGTACGTATGTGTATCTCCTCAGCTGCTATCCAGTCTATTGATTCAAAGCTACAAGACCTTTTTTGTATTACTTAATTTATTTTTATTTATTGCAACATTGATAGAATTCAAACTGCATTGGATAATGTACTAGATAAGATACCTTTTTAAAACCTCTTACTGAGATCCTATTGGGACTGGCATGTAATTGAAAACACTTAATGGAATATTTCAGGGCATATTGCCAGAGAATGAACAAGAGAACCACATTTTATTTTAAAATGCCATAGAAAAATCACTAAAATTATCGTAGTTCTGGTTTAGTGTAGAAGAGGATGGTTATTATAATTTACATAGACTTTCTTTCTGAAATTATTTTCTCTCCTTGTTACATTTGACAAGTCACCCACTGTCTTTTCAGAAATGCCTGACATTCTTTTTAATTAAGTAGCGAGGGGTGACAAGCAATACATTTTTTAAAGATTGCTGAATGCATTGGGTGTGTTTTCAGCCTGGGGCCCAAATCCCCAGCTGGTTTGTTCTATTGGGAAGAAATTTCAGTGATTACAACTTCTGCCTTGACCTATTCTATGATGGTACAAAGCCAAACTGTAATACTCTTTGTTAGTACTTGCTTTTCACTGTCCTTACTTCTGTTAAGCCAGAATAATATTTGGATCTTGGAGGGCTCAGAACTGTTAAGTTCTAAGGTTTTTGATAACAATACAGAAAAATCCAGACAAGAGACTTTTCAAACTGGAGGTTTTATCATGAATTTCCTGGGTGCTTGCTTGCACAGCCCCAGAAAAGGAGACATCCTTCTTTATCTGTTGTAAGTCAATTGAGGAACAGAGAGTTTAACTGGCTTCCCTTCAGTCACACAACAGACTACCTAGAAAGCTAGGAATAGCAGCCAACCTGCATGTTTCCATAATCCTACAGACTACTGGAGATCCCTTGGAGGCAGCTAACAGCCCTACACATTCATACTGCAGATTTACCATTGAAACTCTCCCTCAAGCACTTTTGCACAAGAAAAACCTTTTGCACCAGGAAAAGAGTTTCTACCAAGAATGTAGTAGTCAGAAGTACTAAAAGACATCTTCAGCTGACACAAAAAATATCAAATATATAAAAGAAAGGAAATTAATTTGAGATGTAAATTTTCAAAATGAGACCGTCTTTACACACAGAGTCAAGTATACACTATTTTGCTGATTCACATTTGGCCAACCTCAAACTAGGAGCTTGTCTTCACATATGTGAAGAATTACAAGGGAAATATGTAAATGTTTAGTTGTACCAGTCCAACTGACCCTTGAGCAAAGACCCTTAAGCATTCAAATACTGTAGAGGGTTCTACCCTAACCAAATTTGTAGATTAATATTGTTTAATTCTTACTTCTTCATGCCATAAAGACAGGGTCACAGGGTCCTTTTTATGGCCTGATATTAAAAATTAAGACTAAATCCAAATAAAAGGTTTCAGCTCCAGATTAAAATGTGTTTTGAGTCCTGTTTGTAGCTAGGTCTTCTCAGAGAAATATTGTGACATCAGTCAAACATCTTAAGGGCGTAGCTCATCCCTTGTCTATAATCCTGGACCTGGATTTACATGAACATAGGCAGTGACCACACATAATTGCCATATGTCAAGGTATATTTGCCCGCAGGTTAGAGAAGCACATTAGTAAATAGGGCCTTCATAAATGTACAGCAAAACCAATAAAATATAGCAAATATACTGAGATTTAGTTCATTCTTTCCTCTTGTTGATTTTGTGCTGCTATCAGCTAATATTCCCTGTAGGCAGACTTTTCCCACTGGGTGCTCAGAAATTATGAGGTTCACTGGAACGTTTCTTTCTTTTTTTCTGTTCTTTAAGTCCGTTGAAATGGCAACGCTCAATCTGGAAATTGAATGTGGTGAGGAAGCCACAAACACCAAGACTGATGTGGCTTATTAGCTTGATTCCTGTTTTGCAAAGGTCAGCCCCAAGCATTCCTTGATGCTGACAGATCTCATGTTGCAGTGATAAGCCAAATGTGGAAAATACTTGTGGTGAACAGACCTATCCATATCAGAATGAACACTGGAAAATCAACACACTCAGATTTCCGCCTATGGAATGTATGAGCTATCTGCATTCACGGTTTTGCCAGTAGAGGTATGGGGGATTTACCACCTGCTTGGGCAACATTGGTCAATTTATTTAAAATCAAATCATGGTCTTCCTAGCTAATAAAGCAAACCAGTGTCAGCCACACCATCACTAATAATTAATGCCTCTTTTGGAATATGTCCAAACCTCTCAAATAAAACAATTGTCTAGATAACATCCTATCTCTCACTTGCAAATCCCATGCACTTTCTCACCAAATGCTCCTGCCATTGGCTTCTGAGGCAACGTGATCAGGACTAAATAACACACAGCATATGTTCACAGCTGGGATGTGTCAAAAGCAAGTTTTTAATCAGGGCATAGCACAGAGATGCCTAAAACAGCAGTGGCAGGTATCTTCCTTACAGCCATGGTTTAAAGCCCAGGTTTGACCACATCTGCCTAAATTAACAAAATCACAGGTACCAATGACCTATTTCAGTGTCCGCTCCAAGCTGGAGTCGACATTGCCTTGGAGGACACACTTCATATATCTTCTGGTATCTGAGGTGATAAACACACACAGGGTACAAAAAATAAGTAATCAGTATTTGAATATGCCATGCAATTTCATATACCCATCATG